AGGTCCCCGTTTCGAATCAGCGTAGGTTTGGGCGTCCTCCGGTATACTCAGCACGCTCGTCACTGGTGGTGGTCTGGCGAGAACGAAGCGCAGTTACGGCGTACAGCTGATACCATATTATTATTGTAGTAGTAGTATTAGTAGTAGTAATAATAATAATGCTAATATTATTGTTATTAACTTAAGGGGTTCCAATTCTTCCGAAAAATGAGGGTCAGTTGTTCATACGAAAATATTGCGAGAACTCAGTGGTTAATTATTGCTTTTGTGTTGTAGATAGAAACGTGGATCTAACATGCAGCGAAATCCACAACGGCACAAACGGGGGAACAATTCACAACCCAATGTACCCGGACAAGGATTCTGGTGACAAGTTCTGCAATTATCAGATTACTGTTCCTTCCAACGATCAAGCTGCTGTGAGCTTCCCTTTGATTGAAGTAAGTTTAGTTGGCTGATTTGTCCATGACCAAATATATGACACTTCCATCCTAGTACCCACAGTGAGCTCCTTTATATTTGTTCCGAGTACCCGGAGAGATGGTTTATTTTGTTGCGGTCGGTGGTGAGGTGCGCGAATGCTAACTTTTTAAAAGATCAACTCATGTATTTAATATTGAATAAGTGGTGTGATACTTAAGCAACTTGAAGCTGTCATTCGTTGGTTTCTCTTTCAGCATTTTTCTAATAACATGGCGATCTTTGTATTCGGCGGCCCCGATTGTATGTCCAGATGGATCGGATACCAACGGCACCCGGAGAATAAGCCACACATTTCTCCTGGAAACAGTATCACAGCATTGTTGACTGTTCAACACAGCGATGAGCCTTGGCGATTCGCAGGAAATTATTCCACGGGTAAGTTGTACCTAATCCACATTGTATATTCTGGTAATAGGCAGTAAACATCGCTATAATTAATTATACACTGTTTAGATCACTGATAAAACTGTCCATTCAAATCCTACACGCTTCGCAGCATTGCCAACAAGTTTATTCACTATAATTGAATACGTAATGGATTATTTAAAATTCATTTGTGGATACTGATTCCTCGGAGTGGCGTGAATGCCAAGCACCTTTGCATTAGTAGTGTATTTGAACAATGAGCAATGCTTTATGCCCAGTAAAATTACGGATGCTGGAAAAGTGTCGCAGGATGGTGCTGATACAATTACAATATCAAATGATATGTGCTTTGTCTGTTAGAGCCTTTACCTAGCATATTTGCTGCTGGATAATATTAGTGTATCTGGGAATTGAATGCGAACGATGAGGCAACGTGGGGAAGTTTTACTTTATGTACTCCATGAGGAAAACAAAATCGGACATACTTATATCAGTACAACCTCCTCAGGTCAAAGTTAAATGTTAATCCGGCTTGAAGGGATAATTATTCTATTCCAAAATAGCAAAGTATAGGCAACGATGTGAGTGTTTCTAGGCGCAAGACCTAATCGTTCTTTGAAATGACCCAAAATCTTGGTGGCGACAATAAATTTTAGGAGAGTGTTCCAGGGTTGGTAAACCCAAAGAGGAAAATATTTCCATCGGCATTTCAGGCGGCTATACTGAGTACTTAATTTCCGACTGTTACCTCTGGCAAAGTTTCAGCTTGTGACGGTATTTGTGATTAGGGTCACCCAAATTTGGCAGAAAATATTAGCTCGCCGCGCAGTCTCCGGTAGCGGCCACTGAAAACTCCCAGTGAAATCAGACTTTGTTGGTAGGAGAGATTTCGTAGGCCCTTGACGTTATTTGTGGCCATGCGTTATGGTTTCTCAGACACATCTAAGTCGCGCTTCAAGCGAGCTTGTCAAGCTTGGATAGCGTATTGAACGTTAGTGCGCACGTACGAATTGTGCATCAAGGGCAAGGTGGATAACTCGCATATTATGGATGCTCTTCGCAGCAAGCCTACGTTCTGGTTTGTTCTCTTGGCATCTGCCCCTGGCTGTCTTGAACAGCCAAGTTTATTTTGACTGAGCACACGAAGGTCTCGTTCTGGGGAACTAGTTTTTAATACATTTGACCCCATCTATACACATAGTCATGCCTATGGTAAAATGGAACAGCGTACCATATTTTTATCACTAACACACTTGTGTATTCCGAAATGACCAGTTTAAATTCCTACTGAAGCCACGCTGGAGCTTCTAATGGCCCATCGATTCTCTGATCCCTCGCCTTTACTAGATATCATCGACGGAGAATAGGAAATTTGAAGTAATTTTCCTCGCCTGATAACCAATGAAACATAAAATTAGCCGGGGCCCGATCACCAAGTCTTGTGGTACGCCGCACTCTATCTCAACTGTGTAGGCCAGTGATTCTCTCTCTCTCAAATCCCAAAATGGTTCTTGCAGGAAATTGTCCATCTAACGCAACAGTGGGCCACAAGTGCCGTAGAGCTCAATGTGATGAAGGAGAATTTGGTGGTCTAAGCGATCGAACGCTTTTGAGAAGTGTAAGTAAATGACATCGACTCCTGCTCAACCATCAATTGCTTCAATCCAGCTATTGCGCGCAATCCACAGATTTGCAGTGCTTAAGCGTTTTTTCGGAAGCCATGTTGCTCTGATGCTCTCATGTTTTGAGTTGCTACGTATGCATAAGTGCATCAGCGATGATAGACTTCATCACTTTAGAATGTACCGGGAGTGGCGTTATCGAATGGTAAGTAGTTGTGTCAGTGCAACTACCTACCTTATGAAAGGGAGTGATGTCAGCCCTCTTCCATAGTGTTCGGATATACTGCTTCTCCATAGAGCCCTGATAGAACATAGGCGCAGTTTCCACCGGATCCCTAGCTGCTGCCTGTAAAGCCTTCGGTTGAATGTTATCGACACCAGGAGAGCTGTGGATATGCAGAGATAACAGTTTCTTAGACAGCTTTTCTAGAGTAAATGTCATGTTGGATATAGCTGATGGTTAGAAACTAGAAAATGAGACAAACGTTGGACCCGTTACTCTCTTCATCCTTGGTGAGTAATGGAACCGTAAGCGATGGTTTGCTTCCGTTGCTGATCGCTTGCACTCTTCGTTCTTGACCAGTGCTGAAATGCCGCGTTGCACCTTACGACGGCCATTAACATGCCTGTATAGCAGTTATCGATTCGTGCAGAATCTCTTCATTAACTCCTGCTGATGTGTCACATTGTCGTCGCGGATCAGACTAACACAGAATTTAGATGTGCAACATAGGCAATCCGGATTTCCGGGTTACCAGAACTCCTTCTGAGCTCTCCATGCTAAGTACCTCAAGGACATGCATTTGCGCGTCCTGCTCCTCAGAAATGACGCAGCTCCTTTGACGATGGAAGGGTTTCTGCTCAGACGCGTGCATTACCAGTGTGGTGAATGTCCTTTGTGCAAGCTCTGTACTCAGGAATGCACTGCGGTTCTGCTTAGCGAATGTCAGTTTGAGTGTCGCGGCTGGGAACTTAGGTTGCTTAGCTGGCACAAAAGAATGTTGTGAAAACAGTGTTGCATCACTCGTGCTTGGTCCAGAAATTGGACGTACGGCTGTCGCTTTAAGTGCTTTTATCTAGGCGATCGATGAGTAGTTTAATCGGGTCTGGACTGCCTGTTTTGTGACCAACTCTTGAGATATGGCATCTGGAGATGAGTTAGTAGCCGGATTTGGCTTCCTACTTAAATAGTTAGTAAGTTGGAGTAAGTGGCGCAGATGCTGTTTAACGGGTGGTAAGACTGACTTCAGTCTTCGACTAAGGGACAGAGCGCTGAGGAGATTTCTGTAGAGTAAGATCGTTATTGTTAGATGCTAATGTTAAAGCTCTGTAACTTGCCATCTGCTGGGCTGTTTCTGTCAGCTTTTGAAAATGTTCACGCGCGACATTATACAACTGAGCGTTGGGATTGCTCTGCAATTTTGGCTTAACTAGGACGTATCAGTCAGGTTGATTTTCTCTTACATTTAGCTCACTTACACCAGCACAGGGAGGTAAAACAGAAGGCCGTAAAATACACATATACTCTCTATTTTGACTATTCTTGCACAACTATGCTCACCACCTTTTCTGTTAAACGGACGCAGTTCCAATGAGGGCCATCGTTGCAAAGGAAGGCTGCCCTGTATGGTCGCGTGAGAAAGAGGGTAAGTGACGCTTGCGTGCTTTGTTCCAGTCGCACGCTCAACATCGTTAACTGTAGGTACTTTTGTCACCACAAGGATACACGTACAAGGAGTTTGTCTAGCTTATTGTTCTAAACTGCTTCCTGTAAGCTAACGCCGCTGGAATTGGATTGTTTGGGTGAACAATAGCCAGATTGAGTCGTTGCTTCGACAGGAATGATCCTATGGATGTAATTCTAGAACCAGCAGATAGCGGAGAGAATCCTTGATGGATCTGTGTCACAGCAGTGAAAACTGTTAAAAATAACAGTGTGGCGCATCGAAATGGAAGCGCGAAACCTGTTAAAGCAACTTGGATAGCACAAATCACTTCCCTTAGGAAATACTTTCGTAAACCTATGTTCAATTAACATATTGCTTTGTTACGATTAGAATGAATGTATGCTGACTATGCTAGGTGAAGTGAAAGACGTGAAAAGATTTGACAGATGGGATCACATTTACTATGCGACTAAACACAAGACACTTTGTGAAGTGATTACCCAGAAGTTCGCTACTTTTTCCTTGTATTCCATTTTGTGCACCTAGGCATATCCTATCATGGCTATGTGTTAAACAGAAAGCTTAAAAACATAAATTATCTGCGATATATATTGTTCCGTGAACAACGGTTCAGTCGGTGTCGACCTACTGGACGCTTGACTGATAGCTATGCTAACACCTGAAAAGGCAATGCTTGTGGCGACTGCGATGAAGTTACTTGGGATATCTGGACTATCAACCAATGATATTTCGCCTAAAGTGGCAAAACGAGAAAAGCAACGGAAATGCTTCGCATCACTTTCTGTTCATTTACTTTCGGAGACTACCGTCTTTAATTTAATGTCCATAAAGCCTTGCAAGCATCGTCGTCATCATTATACACGTCAGCTAGAGGTGGGAAAACACCTCCGCTATTGCGCCGCAAGCGGCTGTACCTGAAATGAACACCATATAGTCTGATCAAACCGGTTACATAACAGGCACTAGCAAGCGCTGGTGAATATGACTGTCTTATTGACTGAAGAGCAATAGCTAATACAACATATTTACTTTGAAACGTATGACGTAGTAATTGGAGATAATGCGGTTATTAAATGACCTCATGAATTCTTTCACTAACAAAGTTGTTAGATGTACTAGATGGTATATGGCTTGGGAAATTTGCCCATTTCCGTATGGAAATGCGCAGTAAAATTTTAGTACCAATCTTCATGGATTTTTTCACTTACGTAAGGAGTAGTAGATATTCTTCATAAGAAAATAGCTGTCAATGTAAAAAGCAAGTACGACTGGTTTACAGCTTTGTTGGGACTAAAGTATTTGATATTTACGAAGCTTTTCAGCAAATTCTCTACGACAAAACAGCAGACAATTACTATTCGAAGCTACTGTCGCTGAATTATTGAAGAGCATTTGCAACGCTTTTAGTCGTAACAATTAATATTAGATGAAAGTTAACTCCTCAGTTTGCGAAATACCTGCAACTTTTAAGTGTTTAAATTCAAGATGTCCATAATATGCCAATGTTTAACGTAGTTAAACAAAGGGATATTTCACATTGAAAAGGTTGCATCGGCAAAGGAGCTAACTTGTGGTTTTCACTAACCAACTTCATAGACAACTTCGTATCACATACAATTTAGACACCATATCCGAATAGGAAGTCCTGATTTAAATTCAGTGTGTTACCTATACTTCAGCCTGAGATGTTGCTAGACAAGCAGTGTCGAAACTTTTAACTACACTGATACTGAATTCCTTATTGAA